GACGCGCGTGCAATTGACAGGAAGTGGCGCCTGCGCCAGCGAGTAACTTGGTAACGTAATAGTTAACAATAGGATATTTGTGCGTCTCGCTAGTCGATCGATACGCACGGAGCACGCTGCACTATTGAGGGGGTGTTTCGCACTATTGAGGAATTGACCACGAACACGCACATGCAAGAGTATTAATTTATTGTTATTTAAGGTATATGAAAAAATGCGATCTTTTTATATATAATTCAGGTGTGCAAAATTTTAGTCATTATTGTTTCATTGTTTTTCGAAAATATTAATTAGAAGAATAAATATTTTCTTGTGAAACAACAGTCTCAAAAAAAGCAAGTATTTTTATAATAGTTTCTCCTGTAAGAAACATTTATCTTTTTAATATCAAGAAATTTTTGTTGGATAAAACGCGCGATACTGTCTTTGAATAATATTATCGTATTAATATATGTATTTACAGTTTATTTATTAAATATATTTCTTTTATTTCTCTATTATATCACATTTGTTCTATACAAAATATATTTACGATATACATATTTGCTAATTTAACGTGCGGCTCACGCGCGTGGCGGGAGTCATCGTTCTTAATATATTTAGATATACCACAGAAGTCTTAATTACCTGAAACAACAACGTCTTCCTTCCTATTTATCGATATGATTAATCACATTTCGAGAATTGAAGCATTAAACATTTTAATATGTAAATATCGCAGAAAATTCTGTTGTACACTGTGAAATGTTAAAGAATGAAATTTAAACCAATACCTTGAATTAGATAATATTTTGTTATTTAACTACCATGTGCGTCAAAATTTATTATTTTAAAACAAAATAGTATTATTGTAACTCCATTGGTTTAGTCAAATTAACATTGTTTCAGTTAAATTAACTATGTATTGAGTAGGAGCAATGGCGACCTATAGGAATAATTAAAAATTAAATTTGTCGAAAATTATACTCAAATTGAGTATAATTTGATCCTATGAATTTAACAGTATGTCAACAGTGTATCATAATTATTATTACATTTGTTTATTTAACATTTATTCTCTATTTAACATTTGTAAGATATTCCATACATGTGTTTCATAACTTTCTGAGTTTCTACGTTTTATGTTGCCATCGTTCGTAAGATATTCATATATGCTGTGGAAGTTTTCATTATCTGAAATGATAAAATACCTTTTTTTTTGCTAACAATAAATGTACAGCAAAATATTACATTGTTGACATTTGCTTCGATACAGTATGTTGTATTAGATCAAGTCGTGAAGTCATTATACAATTATTATAACAATTTATGAACGATAAGAAAGCAAATTTTATCAAAATTTTATTTGACATGGTCGATAACTGTAGTATGTGCGTTACTTACGTCACCAAAGGTTGCTATGGATAACGTAACTAGTTTTCCCGCAGTTATCTTGATAATGTGACTCGATTGCATGATTATCAAAATGAGACCAAGCGCTGTTTTGTGAGGCAGTTTATACCAATTAGTCATATATACTATTTCTCCAACTTTTTTACACTAGTAAATGAAAATATTAGAAATTTCTTCAAGATCTAAACGTCTAATGATGGTAAAAACATTAAAGGATATGATTAATTATATTTATTTGTTTATCACGTATTATTGTAGTTACAATTCAATGGCTAATGTGAGTTTGGGTTGTACTTGCGATAAATTAAATTATGCAGTACAAGTATGTACAAATAAACTATTATTGCGATTTCTGTTATTTCAAGGTATTACCTCTTCTGTAAGGATTTCACCGATGTAACAAAATACAAATATATTGAAACTCATTGTTATGTATCCAAAAAAATATGAAAATATTTTTACCAAATTGAACGCATTCCAGGTCTGGAAAATTAATTAATAGCTTTATTTACTGCGGAAAAATAAGATTAATTTGTCTTTGCAGTATCACATTGCAGTTATATTATTTGCGATAGGAAAAGGAAATTTGATTCATCTTTAGCATACCATAATAATGTAATATCCAAATAAACACATACAAATCGTACATCCCATCACTTCTCCTAGACAGGCTTTATGCATAATACTCTCTATTTGTTGTACAAAACTGAAACATATCTCTACACTTACGACACATTCAGGCGTGATGCGTTTCTTTTATAAAACTCATTTTAGATCTACGTTTTATCTACGATTTGTGTTACAGTATTCAGAATATTTTTTTACAATTTTTTTGCTGTGTAATTTGAAAAATAAAAAACATTTAAATAATTGGAATAAGTAAAATACCCGAGGACTCTCCAATGGTGTTTCACGACGGCTGCAAGTTTTTTGTTTGCTAAATGATTTTTCTTCTCCTCCGCGAGCTCGTTTAACCACGTATGCATTACATTTAGTTGACCGCAAGCATGCATCGCGAAGACGGCAGCGAGACCGCAAACAGTTGCTGTAGAGGAAGCTATTACAAACGCCAAAAAGAATTGCACACCCCTCATGATCTCGTACGCGGGGCTAGGTCTCACGTCAAGTATCTTGCTGTACGCTGGACATGTCAACGGATGTATCGTAATAGTTTTGTTGTCGACGATAACGGTCGTTGTTTCCATCGCCTTGACCACGTTAAAGATGTACGTACTACTATGTATAAACATCGCGAATAATGTGGTTATGAAGCGACCGATCTTGGCATATTGCATCATCACTTCACGGTCAACGTTTCTCTGAATGAGTTTCCAATCCGCTTCCATATGCTGTATGCAACGTTTAATGTCTTTGTTACGCGAAAGTAATATCCAGTAATTTATGGATCCCATGATTCTGTTAATCAGCGGAATAAGGTTTTTTAATTTAGTCTTAAAGTCTTTTTTCTCGAACAACATGTACAACATGAACGGTATCATAACGATCGTCATCGCGGTCCAATAAATGAAGATTTGCATTAATACCGCGAGTTTTTTCATTCTGTTCGGCGCGCTTATTTGTGGCCAAGCACCTAGCGATATGAGAGACCATCGATTGAATTGTATATTGTAGTCATTGATGTTTTCGTTATCTGTTACGCGTTTCGGATCGCTCATGATCGTTTCGCAAAGACGACCAGTACGTTACTGCCATGACCATCTAAGGTTTTGCTTAGCTGTAGCTAGAGACATGCATAAAAAGCTGGCGCTTGCGCCAGCTTTTGAGAATGTTTTTGTAATGGGACCCGTCCATAACATTGTCCTAAGAAGAGCGCATGCTCGTGTCCAATCAATAATCATTCTTTACACGAAGCCTGCTTGTCAGTTTGACAGGAGACAGCGTTCAGTGAAGAGTGTGAAAATACTTTTCCGAAAGTGACAACTCTTGACTTTTTGTTATTTTGTATCGCTTACAATTTGTCAAGTGAAACGTATATAATATGATAAATTAGTGTTTCAAAAAAATTATAGATGTAGCGATTGTAATATACGTAATAAAATCCAAAAGTTTTTGACGCAAGAATATGTGAAAGGTGATAAAATGAAAGAACTCTTTTTATTTTTCAATACAATCACTTTTGATTTTATTTTTTAAATTAATTATTTAATTTATCTACATCACTAAAAAATTATTCTGAATTTTCATAAATCGCATTTCAATTTAAAAGATTATTTTTTTATTTTTTAAATAAAAGTCCAATTTACGTGGAAAACGGACTTGGTTTTAAATAACAGGTGGTTAAATACAACATTGTGTAAATGTCATTGCGTTGATCATATATTAAATGTATATAGTAATGCTCATAATTAGACGTAAAGTGTTCTTTTCAAGAGAACATATCTACCTACAAATAGAATATAGCTATATACATATGTATAACCACACATCGTTTTCAGTAATAATTAAAAAATTTAATGTTTCTTCTGTTTGTCTGTATGTCTTTGCTAATATTATTTTATGTAAAATGTATAATGCTCAAATTGTTCTAGAAAGTTTATTGTCTACTTACGTACCTCCATACTCTGAGATGACGCTCCACAATAACATATAACGTTTCCATTCGGTTATATGATTTCTAGTTTATATGTTTATAATCCTTTTGGTTTTTACAAATTCATGTGGTGTATTGCACGTTCAATTAAACACAGGCATGCATCGCGAAGACGGCAGCCAGACTGCAAGCACCGACCGTAGATGTAGATGATTTTACTATAAATGTTGATATCAGGAATTGTACAATTAATGCGGTTTCATTCACTGTGATAAATTTCGTTGTGGATTTGCTATAAATCGGACACGTCCGACAGTCACAAGTTTTTATCACCCTTGTTGTGATTAATAAAGATGCATCGCCATGCATAATCACCCCACAGATCCCGGCGACGAAACGACCGAACTTGGCGTATTGCAACATTATTTCGCAATTTTCAATCCCATTTATGATTTTCCAGTTTGTCTTTACGTGTCATATTAATTTACGAATGTCGCTATGCGGTTTGGAAAGCATCCATCCAATAATTTACCCCGTGAAACAACGGACCAGTGGCGCTCAGTTTCAGTTTGATGTTGTCTTCCTCGAATAATGCGAATAACGTTTATGGTATTATTAATGGTGCCACCATGATCAGATAAATGCACGTTATGCTTGAGCCGTTTATTTGTGGCCAAACATTATTTGGAGAAACTCTCGACTCACTCAGTTGAGGACTATAATCAACTTTACTTTTAAAACTTCTGGATATAGATTTTGACTTCTTCATGATTATTTTATGGATGTACTCGATATACTGTCACGGTGAATAGTGCGCTTGCAAGGATTATTTTCGAATATGCTCCTGCCTCGACTTCGAACAAAGTTTGGAACTTTATGTTAACGTTTTTTTTCCTGAGAAGCACGCTTGCACATTCGATCAATAATTGTCTATAGCATGTTTTTTAATGTTTGTCAATTTGACAGAAAATCGTGTACCAAAGAAGAATATGCGATTACATGTATAAAAGCAGGTCTAAGAAAGCATATTTATCTCTATTTTGTCTCTTTCTGTTCTTCTTTGGCGATACCGATATATTCATATTTTTAAATAATATTTTTCATTTGTTATTATATATCATATATTAGAATTTAAAAAGTAGGTAATGAAAAATTTTAAATAAATTCTAAATTCTAAATAATAGATGTTTTGTATTTTATTGGTAATTTATATAATTATTCTAATATAATATATATTAATTTATGGTGGTAACTAGAGAATTTGCTAACGCTTTGTACAAAATGGTGGAACTGTTGTCTAAGTAGCCGTCATGGTCCGGAGCATGTTTAAATATATCATAGAGGTTTTCATCACCTGGAAACGTTTCTTAAATGTAATAAGCGAAAAAATATATACAACTTTGTATACTCACATCACCGAACGTTGCGATAGAAAGATGAACTAGTTTTCCTGCAGTTAATTTGATCACGTTACTCGATCGAGAAATAATTAAGATCAGATCACGAGCCGTTTTATGAGGCAAACGGTACCAGTTAGTCATATAGGCTGTTTCGCCTACCTGTTTACACTATCAAATTATTTATTTCATAATATGAAAAAGTTATAATAATCGCATATATTTGGCTTTTAAAAATTTAAATTTTTTAAATTCATACTTGCGAATACTATTAAAATTTTAGCTTCGTGATTTATATTTTACCTGTTCTGTGACTACCTCGCCAATGTAACAGAATATAAAAATATTAAAAGCCAAGGATATATATATGATCGCGTAAGCTATTGACATTTTTTTCTCTATTACATTCCATCCCTGAAAGTTTTCGGATGTGTTATATTTTATATTTTATATTTTATATTTTATATTTTATATTTTACAATACATTATTATATTATTAAAAATACTATAATTTTAAATAATGATATAAGATGAATGCTTTCTCTGTAATTAATTATTTTTTATGTGTACGTCTTTCGTACTGCATTTTATGTAAAAAAAATGAAAAGTCACATAATGCCGCGGTGTGCCTTAATTACATATTCAT